TGCCGTTTTATGTGGATTTATTGTATATTAAACAAATACTGTACATATGTACACTATGTTGTCATTTATCTTTCCATTCAAACAACCTTTTACAGAAAAATATGACATTATTTTGCCGATCGTTCGAAATGAGATTAATTACGATTAATTCATTTTGTAATTAACTCCATTAACGTTTTTAATTGTTTGACAGCCCTAGTATAAAGGTATAAAGTACATAAAATTAGCGATAATAATGATAATCATAATATTGGCGACTTCTGTAGGTCTAACTAAACAATATAAACACCTGCCATGGTTCAGGAGGGTGGAGCCTGGAGGTGACACCCACCTGCTGGAGAAGGTGGGGTCCACCCTCGCAGTGGTCATCTCTTTTTCACTTTTCTGTCTGATAAAGTTAATCCAAAGATGTTACAGAGAGGCCAAACCATTCAATTTAATAGATTTTTTTTTCTGTAGCCCTAAATCACAAAGCCAGTTGTATCGGAGGACTTTACAAGGTTGTCGATTTCTCAACAACTGATTAGAGAATCAAACATTTCACAGGAAATGCGAGGGTAAACACACAGGAGCCTTTAGGTCCTTAAATGTCCATAAATAACCTTGGGTAGCACTGACCTTTGACCCTCTTGTATCAGCAAGGGACATCTCAAAACTAAAAAGGTGAGAAACTCATGGAGGCCCGTTTTTAGAGAGGGATCAGAGCAGAGGCTGGTTCATCAGATCCAGGATTGAGGCTGTAGAACCAAACTGTTTTGAGACCAGGAACTAGTTAGCTGGATTTAAAGTCATTGTGGTTTTAAAAGTCAGGTACTCCGACTTAAACAAATTTACAGGCATGTGGTTTTGAAGTGTATTGGAAACATGTTCTGGTAAATGGGAGCTTTGTGAGTTGGAGAAGTGCCGGTTGTTCAGTTACAGCACGTTAGCCTTCACACTCTGCTCTGTGTGCATTAGTAATGATTGTGAATCTCTGCTCACAGACCGAGAGTACCAGGGGAGGGAAAGACATAGGACTGGAGATGCAGCGCACAAGTTCAAAATGTGCAGAACTTATAGATGATGATGAATAATGCAGCACTCGTATCTGCTGCAGTGAATAAACAGTCACTAACCAGCCCAGCGGTAAATAAGGATTTCGGAGCATTATGCAGCTCGAGCTTATCCTACAGTATATGCATTTTCTGGGGCATTTTGTATTATTGAATGTGAAATCATTCCTTAAAGCTGGGTTACCTAACTTATCTGTTCAAACATAATACAAATATAATACATTCTGTTTGTCCCAACAGGAAAATAAAGACCATGAAATCAGACCATAGCATATACAGTATTTGGGCTGAGAGGTGATGGCTGAATTAGGGTGGTCCCTCCTTCACTTTTCTGTCTGAAAAAGTGCATGTAAGATGTGACAGAGGCCAAAAATCTCTGCATGTGAACATTTGTGATAGAGCCTGAGGACCACGCAAATACAAGAGCGGGTCGGCCTGCAGCTAACCAGATGCTGGTTAGCTGCAGGCCGACTGGTCAGCAGGCACATACACAACCTTGTGGAGGTTTGTGTACAGTATGTGCCTGGCTGATGAGAAATAGTGAGCTGTCCAAATATCGACTTACAGAGCATAATTGTTTATGTCAGGTGTCTGTAAGCTGTTGCATAGTTAGAACATGAAAACATTTGCCATATTCAAATGTGGCATACACTGTACATACAAATGGTATCAAAATATAGCTGGTGCAGTATATACTGGTGCGTCGACTGTAGAAATCGGCTAAACTACTTTGGAGGCATAAGATTCGTAAGTAATTCATAGTAGTATTCAAATATCGTCTTTCACAAATCAGAGTCACAAAGCACTTTACATTAGTTGGGGGCATACACAGGAGGTACATGCCAGACCTCTTGTACATGTTATTAGCAGTGGGGGAAACCTACAGAACAGAGCAAGGCCAGGAGGTGGAATAGAACCCAGGACCTTTTTGCTGTGAAGCACAAGGGCTAACCACTTCACCACTGTGTCGCCCACTTAGCATAGTTTGAGGATGAATAGAAAGTATAACTTGGTGGAAAGCTAAGACAAAACGACTTTGCATAAAAAATCTCCTTTAAATTAAAACATTTATGAGGCATATTAACCTTCATGCATATTTCACACACATTTCTGCTTAACTAGTAATGAAAGAGAATGTTTGGGGTCAGGACAAATGCTCTTCCCTGCAGCGAAGACGTGGGTCACTGAAGCCAGGGGGAGGCCGGGCTGCACGGGTCGTTAAGGAAAGGTCGATGCTAACAAGACACTAACTCCTCACTCTAACAAGCACAGAGCTGTAGGATCTCCCGCCTCCGACTGGTTCAGAACGCAATGTTACGGCTCCGGGCTCGAGCCTTTGCCCAAAGCATCTCCGCTTTCTCTTTGTTTGTGCGTCTTCTCCTGTCTGTGTCTGTCTTGTTCCTGCTTGCACCTCAGCCCACCTCCCATCGCTGACACTCGTTCTGAGCCGTCCTGTTTGGCCAATGGGATCTCCGCCCAAACCAATCTGCGCCACCAGCTGACCAGCCTGCAGCCAATAAAATAGTGGTGCGCCGTCCAAACGGGGCGGCTTGTTACTAGTGCGCCACTTGCTGGAGACAGATATGTTTTTGAGAGCAGACCTTATAGACCTTGTTGAGAAACTCATCCTCTGCATTTGACCCATCCTGCTATGTCACTCAGGCCACTGTTGGTCTCTCTTGGTCAGGACCGTAAGCAGGAGGATTTATGGAGCAAGTTTTGTAATTTTTTCGATTGTGAGATCAATAAAGTTTATCTTATGTTATCTTATCTTATGTGAGGAAACCAGAGCACTGAGGAAACACTTCAGTCTGGATCTGTCTCTCCGTGCTCACGCTCTCTCTCACATTTGTGGAGTCGTTCCTTGCAGGAGGGTCTTTGAATACATCTACATTTATTAATGTTTATGTTCATTATATAGCCCGCTACCCTATAGACCAATGGCTCCTATGCGTTTGTTATTATTGCATTTCCTGTGTTTGAATCTTTTGATTTCCAGATCTGTTAACGATAAATCAACAACTTTGTAAAGTTCTCCCAGACGACTACGATTTAGGGCTATCAAAGATAAAAATGGCGCCCACAATCTTCCCCACAGTAAAATGCCTGTTTGGACATGCCACCTAGTTTAGGGCTGATGTTTTTCAAAAGGGGAAGCAACTAAAACATGGGAAAAATCAGTGAAAAGCTCATTTTGTATGTTATTTTTTGCAGCGTTGACACAATTTATCTATTCCTGTCTAAATTGGTTTCTGACATTTGCTTCTTGCCGCTTGAACCTTTGGCTTCAGCCTCTGCATCTCGTTGACGCAGATCCAGGCCATTAACACTTCACACACACCATCACTGTGTTGGACAAAAACAGTAGAAATACAAACCATGATTTAAATGGATTTTTTTATTTGGACAGCCACTGAATAAAACTGCTGAACTGGAGAAATAAGTTTGTGTTCAATAACAAACTCTGGAGGCAAACAGCGATCACTCACTTTTAATGAGTGTGCCCGGAGAAGCCTGTGTTCTGCTCCGACTGGATCAATTCTCACAAATAAACTATGATTCCAATGAAACAAGCTGGAAATAAAACAGAACTCATCAGATTTTCATTTTGAGGCCCGGAACTGTTCAGGAATAATGAAAAGCGTCAGGAGTTGTGTAAAATGCAATCAGTACTTTTTTTTTTTTTAATGATCAATTTCCAAAGGGAGGCATCAGAAACAGACGTCAGATGGTTCCTCTCGATGTGGAGGAGAAGTGGCTAATGTTTATGCATTTAAACTTCATTGAATTAACTTTTAAAACTCATAATTTAGATTCTAATTTATTGAAATGGACTGTGATCATTTCTGACTTTCATGCAGGCATGTCCAAACTCAGGCCCGCGGGACTCTGTGCTATTTTATGTGGCCCTCTGCTGCTAACACAAAGTCGCCATTGAGGCCCTTTGACAGTGTCATCCAACCAACTTCAGTTCCACCAATAAAGTCACATTACTGTATGCCTTGTTGTAAATCTCAGACCCTCTGGAATCCAGTCGATGACTCGATTATCACAACATTCCAAATAAAATGCAGCTGTGGTGTGAATCAATAAGGACCTGTCCTTACCTAGGGCGGCACGGTGGCTGAGTGGATAGCACTCTCGCCTCTCAGCAAGAAGGTCCTGGGTTCGAATCCCGGTTGGACCAGGGCCTTTCTCAGTGGAGTTGGCATGTTCTGCCCGTGTCTGCGTAGGTTTCCTCCGGGTGCTCCGGTTTCCCCTACTACTAAAAATATGTATAATAGGTCTGGCATGTGCCTCCTGTACTGGCGCCCCCACTCCCAAAAATCACAATTGTAAACCGCTTTGAGACTCCGATGTGCAGTGAAAAGGCGGTATATAAATAAAGATTACTACTACTACTACTACTATCATTAAATTCCAGAATCCAGTCAATCCAACTCAAATCCAGGCCCCAGGTCAAGTTTGATTAACTAAAGTGGCCCACTTGCAGAAAAGTTTGGACACCCCAGTTTTGCTTTCATAATTACAGTGTGTTTGTCTCAAGAGAAAGTGTCTTGTTTAATAAAGTAACATTTAAGAACTAATCGGGCCACAACAGGCTGCTTTTATCTTATTAGAAAACAATTCATTTTGTATTTTTTTTTATATACTGAGAGCTGATTGGCTGTGAGGGCTGGTACTCTCTTCTTCACTGAAAAAGCTGATCTACAGATGTGACAAAAACACCTAATGTAATTTTTCTATAGTGATTGGAACTTTTCTGAGATCGAGGAACTAGTCAAATAGATTTGTGTGTAGTTTTTTGTTTGGTTCTTGGACTTTAACAAAGGTTTATAAAGTCTGTATGAATCCCGAGAGGATTTATTGAAAGAAAGAGACCTGCTAAAACTGCGTTTCCAAATGGAGTTTGAGGAAAGGTACAGGGCCCATTTCTATATCGCGGCAATGACGTCAAAGCACGAAGAACAAATGAAAGAGAAAGACGCCATAATCCAACGTTTGAGAAAGGAGAAGAGTAATGTGTTCAGCGGTCTCCAGGAAAAGGCCCGGCAGTCGGTGCGGGACGAGATTCAACAACAGACTACTGCCAACTCTTTCCTCCGCGGACAAGTGGAAAATATAAAGACGCAGAACCAGGTAAATGTCCAGCCTCTCCTGGACAGGATCGCTATTTTGAAACAGGATCTGAAAAAGGAGCAAGAGGAGAAAGAAAGCCTGAAGTCCTCCTTAGAGACCAGTGAGGCGGCCACTGCAGCAGTTCTAGAGATATCAGTCGGCCAGCTGGACAAACAGAAGAATGAGCTGGAAAGTGAAGTCTCGTCTCTGAAAAAGGCTTTGGACACTCAGAAGAAGAATGTGGAAGCAGTGGAGAGAGAGAGACAGCAGCTGACAACAGAGGTGTCAGGCCTGAAGCGAGCTCTGAGGGATTGTCAAAACGTGGAGCAGGAGAAGGTCGGCCTACAGTCTACTGTCAAAGACCTGAGGTCAAACATGAGCCAAAAGAAGAAAGTTACTGAGACCATCCGCTCAAAATGTAATGAGCTGAGCCACAAAACACAGGAGCAGGAGGAGACAAGTCGGGCTTTGAACCAGAAACTCGAAACAGTGACAAACGTTTTCAGGACTGCGATTCAGAGATCCCAAACTGCTATGAATTCTGCTGTGGCTCAGAAAGACCAACTTGCAACAATAGTGGACAATACAAACAAGGAAATGGAGGCACTGAAACTCAAGCACTCAGAGGAAGTGAGTTCAGAGCAGCAGCAGAGGAGCCTCCTGCAGGAGAAGATCCAGGAGCTGTCGGAGGCTCTGAGCTCCTCAGACCAGAATAACACAGACCTGGAAAAGCAAAGAGGTTCTCAGAGAAAAGGAGCAGGACCTGCAGGAGGCTCTCAGAGCAAAGGAGGGGCAACAGGAGGCTCTCAGAGCAAAGGAGAAGGAGAAGCAGGAGGCTCTCAGAGAAAAGGAGGAGGAGGAGAAGCAGAAGGCTCTTAGAGAAAAGGAGGAGGAGAAGAAGGAGGCTCTTAGAGAAAAGGAGGAAGAGAAGCAGGAGGCTCTCCGAGAAAAGGAGGAGGAACAGCAGTGTCTGAAGACGAGGAGGAGGTGGTTCTGCTGTGGCTTTTAAGCAGAAGACGAGGTGTTAGAGGTCCAGACTGGGGCCGATCCTGTTTCTCACAGGCCCATGGACCCCGCTGTGAGGGGACAGTACTTAGAACAGAGCTGCATGGAGCTCTGCAGCGGCTGCAAAGAATCCAAAACAGGCCCATCGTCCGGAGAGTAAATATCTGGTTTAGTTTGTCAGATAATGGGCTTGTAAATGTTCAATCATAGATATGTGGTTGAAAAGTTACAACCTGAACAAATCTAGACACATTTTAGCAGATGATTTTGAGAAACATGTACAGTAGTTCAGGAATTGATTCCCTAAATCGGTTTTGGAGCTAATGTATGCACGTTCTCTTTGTGCTACTTACAACAATCGGGTGAAATAGGACTAGGGACAAATGATTTGTTTTATCCAGATTCCAAAAACACCTTCCAGAGTAGGAGATACTACAACATGATGAGATGATCACAAAGTCTGCAAGACAGAGACCGTGTCCAAGAAAGAGACCGCGACCGAGAAAGAGACCGCGACCAAGAAAGAGACCGGCGAGACACACATTTTGAGGAAAAAAAAGTCTTTCTTGACTTGTGTAACAGCTGCTCTTGAGGCTTCAACAAAATGAAAATTGAAGCAGCAGGAGGCGTCAAACACAAAATATTACCAACGCTCCCTCACTACCAACGCTCCCTCACTACCATCGCTCCCTCACTACCATCGCTCCCTCACTACCATCGCTCCCTCACTACCAACGCTCCCTCACTACCAACGCTCCCTCACTACCATCGCTCCCTCACTACCAACGCTCCCTCACTACCATCGCTCCCTCACTACCAACGCTTCCTCACTACCATCGCTCCCTCACTACCATCGCTCCCTCACTACCAACGCTTCCTCACTACCATCGCTCCCTCACTACCATCGCTCCCTCACTACCAACGCTCCCTCACTACCATCGCTCCCTCACTACCATCGCTCCCTCACTACCATCGCTCCCTCACATCGCTCCCTCACTACCATTGCTCCCTCACTACCATCGCTCCCTCACTACCAACGCTCCCTCACTACCATCGCTGCCTCACTACCATCGCTCCCTCACTACCATCGCTCCCTCACTACCATCGCTCCCTCACTACCATCGCTCCCTCACTACCATCGCGCCCTCACTACCATCGCTCCCTCACATTGCTTCCTCACTACCATTGCTCCCTCACTACCATCGCTCCCTCACTACAATCGCTCCCTCACTACCATCGCTCCCTCTCTACCATTGCTCCCTCACTACAATCGCTCCCTCACTACCATCGCTCCCTCACTACCATCGCTCCCTCACTACCAACGCTCCCTGACTACCATCGCTCCCTCACTACCAACGCTCCCTCACTACAATCGCTCCCTCACTACCATCGCTCCCTCACATCGCTCCCTCACTACCACCGCTCCCTCACTACCATCGCTCCCTCTCTACCATCGCTCCCTCACTACAATCGCTCCCTCACTACCATCGCTCCCTCACTACCATCGCTCCTTCTCTACCATCGCTCCCTCACTACCAACGCTCCCTCACTACCATCGCTCCTTCTCTAACATCGCCCCCTCACTACCATCGCTCCCTCACTACCATCGCTCCCTCACTACCATCGCTCTCTCACTACCATCGCTCCCTCTCTACCATCGCTCCCTCACTACCATCGCTCCCTCACTACCATCGCTCCCTCACTACCATCGCTCCCTCACTACAATCGCTTCCTCACTACCATCGCTCCCTCACTACCATCGCTCCCTCACTACCATCGCTCCCTCACTACCATCGCTCCCTCACTACAATCGCTCCCTCACTACAATCGCTCCCTCACTACAATCGCTCCCTCACTACCATCGCTCCCTCTCTACCATTGCTCCCTCACTACAATCGCTCCCTCACTACCATCGCTCCCTCTCTACCATCGCTCCCTCACTACCATCGCTCCCTCCCTACCAACGCACCCTGAAGTCCCCGCTGAAAGATCAAGGCTGTATTTGTGTCGAATCCCTTGGCTTGCACTTTGAGTTGCCTTGTGTATAAACTGTGCTATACATATAAACCTGCCTTGCCTAAAACTTGCTAACTACTAACTGTGATATGATTTATTTAAAACACAGAGTGGTCCAGATGTGGTGGTCCACAAAATACTGTTTTTATCCAATTTTCAAGAGATTTAGATTTAAATGCGTGCAATTACATCATGGACAAACGTGAAACTTGTGAATCCAGAAACTCAGTATCTTTTCTACATTCACTCCTCAGCGACATTTTTCCATTCATCAGACAACAGCTCCACCGAGTGGAGAGGATTAGAACAGCGCCATGGTCAAACATCACATTAGACATCATAGAAGAATGCAGAGCACCTCAGTCATCTGCAGCAGGAGAGGCAATACATTTATGTAATATTAAATAAAGACCAATGGGGAAAAGTCTAATCTCATCTTCATTCAATGACAACGACATCTTGCTATAACAAAGTCTCAATATTGTTTTGTTGATGTTTTGTTTATTTCAATTTCAAGTTTAAACTTTTTCACCTTCAATTAAAATGCAATATAGCAGTTAGTGACTATAGGACTGTGCAGTGAGCTGATTGGCTGGGTGAGGGTGGTTCACTCTGTTCACTTTTCTGTCTGAAGAATCTGATCTAAAGACAGGCCAAAGATACATATGAAAACTAGTGACAGGACCAAAGTGAAAGAACAAACTTGATCAAAGCTTTTATTACATGAATGTCGTTATTTTGCATTCATTCACACGCAGAAACTTCTGGCATAAACGCCTCCCTTCGCCCCTTCTGTCTGAACGCTTTCTTAAAACTTGTAATACGATGATGAATCTTCAGGTCTGTTTTCTCACATCAATCAATTAAGATGTTTATTTAAAAATAGTGACAACATTCATACCAACCAAATGTAATAACACACAGACACAAACACACTAACACAAATCTTAAAATTATGTTGTGAGTAAAAACACAATTAACGTCTTGAATTGTATGACATGTTTTCCAATATAGATAATATAATTTAATGAATAAGGAAAAAAGAAAAAAAAACTCAAAAGACACTGATGACCATAGGGGGGCAGCAGAGCCCTCGTTATTGACTCATCACAGCTGCACAAACCTGAACAGTATTCATGTAATAGAAAAGTAATTTAGTAGCAGTAGTAGCAGTAATTCTAGCAGTAGTTGTAGTCATAGTAGCGGCATTAGTTATCCAGGTATTGATTAACTAAACAAAGAAATGTTCTTTATCTCAACTTTAACTGACACATTTGACCGGAGAAATTATCAAAAAATTTACTGAGGAGAAAAATTTGTCATAATAATTATGAGGCAGAAATGGCAGATCTCTAAAAATGTTGAAAATAGAAGGTTAGGGGAGGAACGTGTTTGTGTTTATCACTTTTGTATCTTCACCATGTCCCTATAAGAATAAAACAAAATTATCATAAAATCAGAGTGCTTCTGACCTTTATCTCTTTGTTCTCCACATTATTGTTATTATGGATGGATGGATTTTATTATTATCCATATCACACTGTTTGATACATACCCTACTTAAGAAATTAAAGGTTCCATATTACACTTTTTGATTTTCTCTGCTTTAATCACCATGACAGTGCTAATTGGCCTTCAAACACATACATACACAAGTAGTTTTTTTCATTTATACCTTCATTATGAGTTGAGGTGATATCACCCCTATGCAAGAGATGGCTATAATCTCACAAGTTTCGAGTGCTGTATGGTGTATCACTGTGAAACATGAAGAATAGTGCAGTATCGGAACTTTAACCTTCAAATGTTCATTCACACAGATGCTCCATTTGTTTCCATTACAAATCAAATTTTATATTTAGGGCTTTTGGTTAGAAGTAAACATTTTAATAGAGTATTCATCAAAGGTAATTATTGAGCGATCCCTCTTTTACATAAAAAAAACCAAAAACAATAGCCTCCGTCCTGTTTCATGCTCCGGTCACATAACACTCTCCTCTAATGTATGCCTTGGATGAAACCATGCCGTTGTTAGATTTGAGGTTTCTCCCTCTTTTATCTCCCGCATGTTGTTCATCCATATATATTATGGACTTCAGAAATAAGTCCACCTTCATAAAACATAAAAAGGCAAATTCAATATTATCAAGATCATGTTTTGGGGTCAAAATATATCATATAGAATTAATGCATGTTTGTGTGCTGCATTGTGTCCTGTGTGACAGATCGGACGGTACATAAATGTAAGTCCTGTGCGGTGCATTGAGGGGGGATGGGATTTGGCAGGATTGAAGTGTAATGACAGGAGAGGGGTGTTCCCACGGCAACATGCGGCTGTGTGTGTGTCTGTGTTTGTGTGTGTGTGTGTGGAGGGGGGGGGACACACACACCACCTGCACCATGTTTAAAAAGGGGCTGGTTATTTGGACCAGAGCTTTACGTGTAATCAACATGTTAAAATACACAGGAGGGATTAATTCAGGACAGATCTGAAAACTAAGCTTGTTTGAGTTTTTTAACCAAGTTGCAACGTTGGCCCTCAGACCTGCAGTTGTTTTTAGCTCCATTCAGGCAAATACGTATGGGGAACGTCCTTCACAAACACGTCCCAGCCTTAAAAAAACATGTGGGTCAGGTGAAGAAGGCTACACAACTACACATAGGAGACACACAAGGGGCACTACTTTTGCACACTCTTCTCTCCATTAGTCCATCATAATGATAATAATGATTTCCTCTTGTCCTGGATGCACTGCGCAGTGACTATGGAATACTTATTTTTACACATTCATGTCTTCCCCGTAGTGAAAAGCTGACACAGGTCCAAACAACACCCAGAGCTTTCACAACACGCACCAAAATATATGGAAAGTACTTTCAATCTGGCATGTGATAACAATCACTAGATTGACTCCACAACCAATGGATTGGAAAATAAACAGCCTCAAGATCATGTTTGAGGGCCATAATGATCACAGTCCCTTTAAGCCCACTCCAGGCCGGTTCCTCTTGTTCTTTCTCAGAAGTCTTTATTCTGTCCCAGTGCAAAGCAACGAGGGCTCAGCACAGTAGCCCCGCCGCCTGAAGACCTATGCATTTCCTGTTAGTCCCAATAATGTGCAGCTACTTCCTGCTTCTCAGGCCCAGAGGGAAGGAAGTCCAGTCTGGTCACACGGTGCGCAGCCCAGGCCTCCAGCGCACTGTAAAAATATAGCATTTATTTTTTTAAAGGACACATGTTATGCAAAATCTACTTTTCTGAGCTTTTCGCTTACCAGTCTGGCATCAAAAACCAGACCTGGAGATGATGATAGATTTATCCTGCTTTATGAACGGCTGAAGAAAGATTTGTAAATTACAAAGACCATGATGCTTTGCACTGCATTGTCCGTACACAACACTGCCACATTAAACAGAATTTTTTGGATATTTGTTACTGCACGAGTCCATATTCCAGGCACCTAATGTGGCCCCCAGGTAAATTGAGTTAGAGTGATATCAGAAAAAAATACGTTTTTGGCGTTGCCCCCAGCAGGATGTCCCCTGGATGGAAGGATATTTTGTCACAGCCTTAAAACAAACAGTTGTATTTAACCGTGTTTGTCTGAAGCTGACAAGGAAGTGGTGTTTTCAAACCAAAGCCCCTCAAAGTGACTGATATTGGGATACATTTGTGTGTTTTTTGTAAAAGAAAAAATAATCCCTCTATTTGTGCCAGCCCAAAGCTACTATTAACTCAACTCTTCCTCGGTCTTTGTTTCTAAATGTTTAATACTTTGCTAGATAACAGTTAGAGCTACGTTCTGCCATCTTTACAGTGTGGACTAAACCAAAGAAAGCCGGGTGGATCACAGCTTTGGGATAATAATAACGAGTTTCATATGTTTGTGTTTTCATTGACTAAAGGGTTGCTTCTTCCTTACACACTGAGCTGGCGTGTCAAAACGACTTGGCATTTAACCTGCCTTATGTGCAAGTATTTATTTATATTTCCGGGTGAACACTTTGATCAAATATTGAGTTTTCTTTCATAGTGAGGTGGACACCTTTATATTGCTCCACAAAGAGGATGAACTTGTCGCACTCTGGTTGATTGTAATTCCCTGAGGTCCTGGGTAAACTGCGCGGCAACTTCAGAAGACTGATTTTTGAAAGTAGGAAGTTTGTGTTGACACGCTTCTGTCTTCCCAAATCCATGTGGTGAAATATTGACGCAGGCCTAAACAACACCTGAACCTTTCCCATGGGGCTGGATATACCATTTCAACTTGATTAAAAAACAGTTTATAAAGCCCTTATGTCTACATGTAATCATAATGTAACAAAGCAGTAACAATAGACTCTTCCATCTCTCCACACAAGCCACATTTTGGTTTTGACCCCAAACTCTGTAGCACAGGAAAGCCGAGGGAAAGTAGATGTATTGTATCTTGTGAAAACAGCCTCAATGCCAAAAAATCTCTCCTATAAATCATTCATCACGCTGATGCAGTTCCTCACTACCCAACCTGGCCAACTGCACTGTAAAAACCTGGATTTACAACGGTTTAAGTC